TTCTAAGGTAGAATGTGTGATGCACTGTCATCCAGCATCAGGGAAGAGGACCAAACCTGACTAATATATCCGTCACAGCAGAACACGTTACTTCACACAGTACACGACACACAAAGGCAGAAGCAAGCCGAGTCTTTATGAGCTTTTCAGCTCTAAAATGACATCTCACACACTGAAAGGAACTCCATTTGCTTTGGAACATTTGTCATGTGGAAGTATGTTGGCTACTGTACCATTGTCATGATGCCAGAGAACTAATAGATGACTAGGTTGTCATGGGAACTAATGTTCAGTTGGGACAATGAATTACTCTGCTAAAATTGGGCACAGTAGATTTTTTTTTTTTTTTTTTGGGGGGTTCAGACTAATGCTATTGATTACGGTGCTTGTAAAGCAGCACAGCATTGATTTTACTTAGACATTTTGTTTGGGGATTTTTCCAAACCCCTAACCCTAGGTTTTACATTTCTGCAGTTAATTCAGCCCAGACCACTTTACATATAGACATCCCCCAACCCCCTAACTATGGGCACTTTTGGGCCTGAGGACTTTTAGAAAGTAGACCTGCATAGGCAGATGCATAGAAAGCAGAGAGTAGACATACTTTTCAAACTCTCACACATTTCGTCTTTTATCTAAAAGTGATTTCGGTAGCACTTTATACTGTCCTGTTCCCATATATACTATTCGCTTATTATAGTTATTACAATAACGGGGTAATGATAATCAACATTCTTCATAATATCATATTTTGTGTTCAACAGAAGAAAGTAACTCAACAAAAGGTTTGGGACAACAAAAGAGTGGTTTTGAACATTTTTTGGTTGAACTCTCCCTTTAAGTTTGGGTTACCTGGACTTTCAATTGATGGACAGAAACCTCTCATTAAGTTTCATAAGAAATATTTTAATTGTTAAAAATGTTTAGAAGCTTAACCAAATCCTATATGCTTGGAACAACTTGAGGGTGAGTAAATTTTCGAATTTTTGGGTGAACTATATTATCTTATCCCTACTAGCATTTTATGTATACTTAATACACAAAATCATGTGTTAGGTTAAACAGAATTCTGTGATGGAAATTGGATTTTTTTTTTTCAAGGATAGGGAAATGCACATTTTATTGTATCCTCTTATGTAATGTTGCTCTTTGAGCATAAACAACATCTGCAAAGTTACATCGCTCAAAGTTTAAAACAAACAGAGATATTTTCGTCTACAGAAATCGCTTTTAAGGACTACAACAAATGACTGATAGGGAAGCTTCTTCACGAGTTTGTGACATCACCAAACCCTAAAATTTACATAAACCCCGCCCCCAGGAACATGCGTTTAAGTCTGAGGCTTAAATCTTGTCCTTCAAATCATGCAAATATGTGCTTATCTAACTTAAACAATATTTACTTCACCAATAAATTCTGAACATAACTGCAGAATATTAAACATTCCTCTCCTGTACTTCAGCACTGCATAAACTGTGTTCATTGGAATTATGTAGGTTTACTGTTACCTAGGGAGCAACTCACCAAGTCGCCTTCCTTCTAAGAAGTTGTTTACATGGCAGATGAATACAATTCTGATTCTGGTATAGTTAACGGTGCACTGGAGGCATATGTGATCAGATTTGAGCTATCTAGAATGACAGCTACCCCTTAAAAGTCCTTCCAGCAAATTACAACACACACACACTCTAGAGTAATCCAACTATCTCTAATGAGCACAACCAGTCCATCTCAACCATCATTCCACAGTGCCGAAGGGCTGTGTATGTGCATTCAGCATGTTGTCTCATGGGCACTGCTGCAGTGTTTGATGTGGGCATCCAGGCCTCCTACTGATGCAAAACTCAGTGGAAAGGACTCCATCCAGCTAACCCCCGGTCAAATGCTTCACTTCACGAAATGGCCTTGCCAGCTGTCCATGCTGACATTGTGTCAGTAATTAGCCAGTGGGGGGTTTGGACTGGCAGGGAGGCAGCTATGCCTGTCTGCCTGCAAATGGAGGCGGTCATGTCACACTTATGAAACCCAGAGGAAGATTGGAAACCCGCAGGTGGAACTTAAGTAGCCGGGGTGAGAATGTACCGGCCATACTTGTGTCCTGATAATGGAAGAACTGAAAAGCCCAATTCAGTTTTTATGCACAGGAAGTGAGATAAAGTACTGATTTGCCTGCAGCAAACCCTTGGCAATTTTGTGTGCAATAATCAGATCAATGGGAGAGGTAACTTAAAGTCATCATAAAACTGACACTGTCACTTTTGACCTTTTTTTTATAAAAGTTATTTCTTTCCCACATAAATGTCTCTAAATCACAGGTTATTAATTTGTTTAGGCTTACTGACTATATAAACTGTCCGGTGTGACAGACACAGATTCTCAAGCACTCTAAATGTTACTCAGATGACATATTTCTTACTCAATGATTTCAACACTGAACAATGAAACTGTGAAATTCATGAGGGAATTCAAATCAAATCAAATCAAAATTCCAGTTACACAAATGTTGTATGTTTGTTTCAATGTGTACTTCAAAACATTTACAAATATTTGTTGGCCAAAACAACGGTTTGATTGTAGCCTATGCTACCTGTTTCCTGGCCAGTAGCTTCATAAGCGTTTTGAAGCAAAGCCTAAGTTATAACTAAGATTTGTGCCTAGAAATAAAATGACTTCGAAAAAAAAAAACACTTGTTGTAAGCAAAGCTGCCGATAAAAGTGCATGCATGGTCAAGAGGTGAAAGGGTTTGAGGATCCCTCAGGTTGTTTATGTCTCACGTGGGATCTTTCGGCTTCCACACACTGCAGAGCGCTTGAAAATGCCCGCGGGCTTCGAGCCATTCATTGTAAGTGGAAACGCTGGAGAAGTCGTTTGTAAAACCACTTTAAACCCTTCGAGATGCTAGAATGATATTCAGGCAATGAAAACAGAAACCATTGTTTGAAAAACTTATTGTTAAAACTTAGAGAAATAAATGAAGTGTGGAGAGTCCGGAATATTTCGAGCCAGTGATGGGTTTCCTTATGGAACGTTTATGAATCTTTTAACGAATCTTTTTCGTGACAGTTTTTCTCTTCTTCCAAAAACTGACTGGTATTACATACCAAAAACGGTATTTACGAACGTAGGCTAACGAACAGGCATCTGAATGAGGAATGTTCAGTTCGACATGAAACAGTTTAGGATGAAGGTGCTGTTAGTCGAAAAATGACTGATGAACTTATAAAAAAAAATGGCATCACAGTGTAGGCCAGCCTTTCTCAAAGTGGGTGCCGCGGCACACTGGGGTGCCCCCTAGCTGTGTCAGGGGTGCCGCCAAAAAATTACGTAGGCTAAAAAAAATGTGGAAAAAAAAACCCAGGAAAAAAAAACAGCTGACATTTCATATATAAATATATTTGAATTTACATTCTTCATTTTAAACATATGAACATATTAATAAAATTGTAAATTCATTTTAGATAAACATATAAAATTAATAATAAAAAAATCCGTCTCACAAGACCGAAGCAAGACACACACAACTTGACGCAAGTGACGCAATCCATAGCAACGCGTTATAGCAACACCTCAGACTGACAGAAACGTAAAAATAAACGTGAATTTAGGCCACTTTAGTTACAGCATTATGGATCGTTTTTTGAAAAGAAAATCCCCACAAGAGCCGGGGATTTTTGTTTTATCTGCATCCTGCACTTCATTTGAGTTCTCCTGGTCTGGATTTGTTATTGGGCGATCCACCTCTTACGGTTTTATGGCATTTGTGTCTCTGATTAATTATTTTGTGAATTACTTTGCAAACCTGTGTTTTTAAAGGTGCTATAAAGTTTTTATTATTATTCTTATTTACAGTTCATATTATGCTCTGTTCATTACTGTTCTGTCTAACTAAACAAGACATTTGCATTTAAATTTGGGTTATGCAGTGTTTTTAAATTATATTTTACACTGGGGTGCCTTGAGATTTTATGCACTTTTGAAAGGTGCCCTGACTGAAAAAAGTTTGAGAAAGGCTGGTGTAGGCTATTTAATTGTATAGACTTTGTTATAGATTGATTAAAATCATGCCCAGTGGACGTGAAAAATAAACTGAAAAAATGGTAACCTTAAATTTTGCTTCATGTGGTAGGCTAACATCTAAATCAATCGGTTTTATTAAAATTGTTTTCAAATTAAAATTGTATTTAACATTACGGAATCAACATAAATATGTTAAGTTACACCAACAAAACCATAGTTAGGCTATAAGATACTGTAGCTCCTTGACGTATATTGCAGTTTACCATTTACAACGTAATAAAAGGCAATTCTGAGTTACTAAACGATTCGAGTGAACGATTCAATTATTTCATTTCACAGAAGCCTAGCCTAATGCTCACTTAGCATATGACTTAACCTCCAAGTGTCCAAATCCTAGGTGAATCACTTAGATGAATCAAAACCACCATCATGGAGAAACAGTCTGAATCGTTACTTTTACATCGTGTATTAGCCAACAATCTGTAATGATTGTGAAACAAAGCACTATAAAAATAAATGTTACTTGACAATCAACTCAAACTAAAATCATTTACAAGATTAAAAATAGACCTACGTTGTTAGACAACAGTGACTATCATCAAAGCCTCGAATTTTGCTTTCTTCTTTCATTTAACAATCTTTAGCCGATAGTTTTGCAATCTCACAATCCCATTAGTTAGCTAAAAGTGCTAGCTGTCTCAATAATTCATGAACGGATACTTTAGCCACAGAAACTGCTCTAAAACTCGAACCTATTAGAAGCACCGACATAAATCGCGATACTTTTTTTAATCCACGCATGTACTCAGCCAGCCAGCCATTAACTAATTGTCCTTCATGCAGTCAGTTCAATTAAGTTCATATTAATTTAAGGAGCACAACGCGCCTTATGTGCTCGCCACAGCTCATTGCACAACGGGTAATTCATGATTTTGACAGGAAACCCTCCCTCATCCAAACAGACCGTTCAGCAGATTGTACCTCTGGCATCCGCTGTCCAAGGTGCTGATCCACTCTGAGACGAGATTGATGTTTCTAGAGTGATTTAATCCGCATCAAGCGCGCGCTGATGGAAAACAAGAGATGTCGCCTCCAAAAGAATGCAAACCCTTGTCAAAACTAGTGAAACGCGTGTGAGAGAGAGGAAAGAGACACGCGCGTGCGGGCCGGTGCTCGTCAGTCCGATCCACGGTACTCTCTCTCTCTCACTCTCTCACTCTCGCTCCCTCTCCCTCTCTTGAATCAGTGATTCAGTCTCTTCCCTCACCCTCCCAGCAGTCAGAGAACATAATTTATTGGCAATTTGCTTATGTTGGGAGACCGTCAGTCCAATGCCTCCACCTTTTATTGGACAATACAACAGCTAAATGAAACCCCCACTAATATCGTGTGCACTTTAAAAAAAAATATACAGTGTATCTACTGAAAATTAATAAAATGCAACGTTTAGAATGCAATTTCGACATTTTTATTTTTAAAAATTGAACAGATCATAGGCTATAGAACACTTATATCTGAGTTAATTATAATCAAAGAACCAGCATGCTTATAATTAGTAGACTACTAAATATCATTTTGTGCAAGTATTCTTTATAACTAAAATGAGGATGGGGGCACAAATTAAACTAACATGTGAGAATACGTAAGACGCTACTGATTAAAATAGCCTACAGATTTCGGTGCGTACTGGCCTACTTTGAGCACTGCCCTAGCGGATACATGTGGAGCTGGGGAAGATGGAGGGTTTCTGAAAGCGCTCTGAAACAGCCACAGCAAATGCTGACCAAGTATTTGAAGGTTGAGCAGCAAGATAATTGGCTATTGATATGGCAGGAACCAATCAGCTGTGCCCTACAGACCTTATGTAGCCCGGCCCCTTTTCAGTGCCGCGCTCGTTGTCTTTTAGATGCAAGAAATTGACGAAAAACTCAGGAAAAATGGCTTGCAAACCTTGAGTCGGGAGGAGCCGAATGGGAAAATGCCTGTGCAGTTATCACTTCGTCAAAGGTGAGTTAATACAAATTAAGTGGCTATGTTTGTGTAACGTGTGATGTTTCCGAACTTCGTTAAATCAAAGTATGTCTGCAAGACGAGGTAGTTGCTGATATCTACCGCCTTGATGGCTGGAAAATCTTTCAATTCAGTTAAAAAATCGCTCCTCTTCATAACGTAAGGATCACGTCCAACATATGTTTGTTTTTTTGTTTATTTATTTCTTTTGTAATAGTGTGTAATGTAGTACAGTGCGTACTTTCCTCCATCTCGTCCATTGCTCTTCACTCCCTGCCCTTCATCTGAATTGCGCAAGTCAATCACGTGACTGAAACCCAGCTATTGTAATCAGTCTGAAATATCTAGAGTTTCATGAGAGAACTTTGTATTTAACTACTGATAACATAACATGATGCCACAAGACACTAGACACACAACAAACAATCTAATAATTGATAATTTTAACAAGAACAAATGCATTATGAGATTACAAAACAACAAACTGCTAAATGTGACAACACAATCAACAACACCAACAGTATAAAGTAAACGGCAAAATGTCAAACAATGCAACTGCGAGTACTAATGACCCAGAGCATGCTGGGAAGAAGGCAAATGGGACTAATAACCTTAATTGGAAGCAAAATGCATGATTAGACATAACAGAAATGCTTTAATTAATAACTGCTCCTTCATGTGGGATTTACTCAATAATTAATCAGAATGATAAAAACTTTTCACAACAAAAGGAGTGGATTTTTATCATTTTTAAATTAACTCAAAAACATTTAATTACAAAAATAAAAAATATGTTAAATAGTTATGAAATATTCAAGAAATTTTCAAAAGCACTGCATCATTTTTATTTTACAGTGTGTGCCTTAAGCATAAATATTTCATGATCATGATGTACAACATCATGGTGTATTTTGGCTCAGTTTCTCTGGAAATGAGGCATAACTGCAGAGCATCACACCAAAAGGTGATTGTATGCCTGTAAACATATTGTGAGGTTATTATTTCATATACATACATAATTTGTGAGTGAGCCATGACAATACAGTTACCTGGCAACTTTGAATGCTCAAATTCTGCCTGCATCTGAAATATAACAAGATATTCGCTAAAGATAAAATACACAGAAAGTTCCTTTCTTGGGGTATCATTGCACACAACTCTCTTTGCCTTATGAATTTTTCAAACACAACTAATTGGATCTGTGTTAAGAAATAAATAAATAATGCATCATGTTTTGGCACACATGAACAGAAAGAAAGACTTGTAAATGAAGTTACCCAAGAGACAAAGAAATTCCACTCTAGGGTCTTTCTCCACAAGATATAGAGAAGAATCTTGACACTAGTACATTTGCAACAAAACCCACTGTACTGTAATGAACCTTCTCACCATCAACATGAATGTAAACAAGATGCATGTAGGGTTGCTCATATAGAAGCATCCATAAATGAATACATAAGCCAGAATAGGCTACACAACACAGTGATTGAAGGCCTCCTCATATAATAGGGAAAAAATACATTCGATTTGAGATTCAAGAGAAGAGTGCATAAAGCTTTTAACAACTAAGAAAAAGAGAAATCAAGAACAAAAGAGAAAGAGTTGTCTGTCTACCCCAAGTTTAATTCAATATCGAACCACCTAACCACATGCTCCCTCATTAGGCGCCATTCGGATGGACAGACGTTTATTGGGAGACTGTTGGACTGTTGTTGAGCTGGCAGCATTTAAGACATGTAGTTTTAATTAAACATCACTCCGATTTCACACGCTCGGCTTCCCCTTCGCTTGCTATCCCTGTAGCAGTCTGACATCGTGTGGCTCGCGCACCACCTCTCATTAGTCCTCTACAGCTCGGCCAAACTAATTAGCAGTGTGTTGAAAAGTTCACGTGGGCGTTAACATCTTCATTTGCTACTAAAATCGGTGGCCTTGTTAGTTCTGGCTGCTGCAGGGTGAAACAATGGCTCTATTAAATTTTAAATGGCTCACTGTTGCTTAAAATATATCAAATTCTACATGTGAACAATCCGTGTGTAGCCTACTATATCGCACTGAAGTTAAAGAATAAATAATTTCAATTCACATTTTTTTTTCAGCTCAGCATCTACGTGATTCATTTTATAGGTGTGTAAACTTGTATTCCCTCTCGTGCATTCTTTCTGTGAGGAGTGATAGATTCTTTTGCCTTGCAAATAGAAACTCGAGGCTGAAAGGCATTTTGAAAAGCAATGAAGGAAAACAGTCCTTTCCGAAAACCTGCTACTAGATCAAATAGAGATTTACTTCTAAATGCAGATTTACTTCCTACACATCTTTCATTTTAAAATATAGATAGCGGAGTTCTTGTTTATTCTTTGTCTAATGAACGAGTAATGGCCCTTAAGCTGCTGTCCTGTGAGCGATTCTTTCTCCCTCACTCACAGAATGCTAAAAGGCTTCGTATTCACAGATGGATCAAATCTCGGATGGCTTTTGATGTTTTCTTCTTTTTTGTTCTGTCTGTCTGTGTGTGGATCAAAATATATGACAAGGAGATTATTAGTGAATGAAGTATGAGCTGCTTGTGCTGGGCTCTGTGCATATGTCCAGCAAATTAAAAAAAAAGCTCAACAGTAAATGATTTCTCCACCCTTCAGGACCCTTCTGATGCCCCCTCTCAAACACTCTTTACCATATCAAAGACTAGCTCAGGCCCTGTCTGCATCTCAGACTAGGTTCACAAATAGACAATAGAATTGTATAATCTTTGCACATTCTTTTGGCTTCTCTGTAGAATGTTTATTTGTTTGCTTTCTATGCATAGAGAAAGGTGTTAAAATGAAACGAGTATCTCATTGTTTCTGTTTTATTCAAAATTGACAAAAGCACCATAAAATTTTAAGGGTGTCCAAATGGATGGGAGGTTATATCAATGGAAATGACTGAATTATTAATAATGAATTCAAACAACACTGATTTATTTAGGTCCAAAACAATTAACTGACTGAATTCAGAACCACATATTAGCATAAGACTCTTATGGTGCTTTTCCATTACCAGTACCGACTCGGCTCGCTTTTCGCTCCGTTTTCCATTTCAGACAGTACCGTCCCAAACCCGGTTGTCATAGCGACGCCTTTCGTTCCTCGTTGCCCTATCAAGCTCTCGCTGGATCCTCTCTTCGGCAACCAAACAAAGGAAAGTCTGCACCTCCTCATTTGACCACGCCGTATTCTTCCAAGTTTCCATAATGATAATAGTAGTAAGTTAATTAGTATCTGGCCAAACTATTTAAAAAAGGGTTTGGTTATTCTGGATACTCCATCTGGCGCATGCAATGATGATGCAGTGAATGGTTGCGATTCTCTCTGACCAATCAGAGGTCAGCATTGTTTTAACGTCACATTCTAGTATCGGCACAACTTTCCTTACTAGCTCACTCAGAACCTCGCCAGAGGTAATTAAAAAACTACCCGAAAACTACCCGAAAGCAGGTACAGGTACAACTTTTACACAGTGGAAAACCAAACAAAGGCGAGCCGAGCCGAGCCGGTACTGTGTAGTGCTCCTAGTGGAAAAGCGCCATTATTTATAACATATATTTTTGTGTGTGTATCATGTGGTCCCAAATTATTCAACTGTTATTATTAGTGAGACATTGGATCATTCACACAACTGATTCATTCAACGCTGTGATTCTGTGGCAGAACATTGAATCCACTTCGTTTAGGCTTCGTTTAGATCTGGTTTTGTTGGCGAAGCAAAGTGCCAATTTTGTTTCTAAAATTTTACTTAAAGGGATACTTCACCCAAAATGTTTACTCACTCTCAAATAGTTCCAACCCTGTATAAATGTCTTTGTTCTGCTGTACACAAAGGAAGATATTTGGAAAATGTTTTGTAACCAAGTAGATCTCGGGCCCCATTGACTATCATAGTATATTTTTCCTTCTATGGTAGACAACGGGGCCAAAGATCTGTTTGTTTCCAACATTCTTCAAAATATCTTCAGCAAAGACAGTTATACAGGGTTGGAACAACTTCAGAGTTTTCATTTTTGGGTGAACTATTCCTTCAATATTAGTTATTTACTTCTTGTTTAATGACAATATCAGACTTGCAAATGAACTGTTGATATCCAGAACAATAACGTTTGATATTGCTTACTGTAAATATTTTATAACATAAGAAGGTAATAAGACATTGTTTGTATTG